CCACCATGCTGGCTCCATGCCTTCCTTCTTTCTCCCTAATACACAAAGAGGCATTTCCAGCTGCAATTCTCATGAACTCAGCCAGATATTGTGCACTCAAAAACTGGGAAGCTCTGGAACTAGACACTATAAACAAGAAGCTTATCTTCCTTTGTGACACTGGTCACAATCTAAGCTAGAAAAGACGCTTGGCCACTGAACAAGACTCAACATGAATATCATCTTCCAAAGTGACCTCTCTAAAGGAGGCAGCCAAGACAGCCACGATTCCTTACGTTTGGGATTGCATTGCACACTTTCCAAGCTCCACCCCCAGAAGGAGCTACGGATTCTATCATGTCTTTGCCTTCCCACCACAGACATGGAATCCAGACATGCAATAGAAATATATGATGGATGAACCATTATTGAGCTGTCCTCCACTATTCAAGAGTTCACCACACCTGAATGCCAGAACCATCTGCAGGAGCGCTGAGTGCTCTTACCCCGATTCTCTGCTTCAGCCCCCTTCTCTGCACAGCCCCCTCTACCAGAAGGGAGTCCGACCGGAACCACCTGTGATGTCCTGTGAGAGAAGCGGCGAGCGGAAATGCTGGGACCATTAGAGTACACGTCCCTTTCCCATGACCAACTTAGATCAAAGTTAACAAAAGCTAGGGCGGTTTTAGAAGACCCCACCAAATTTACTGAAGCATTTCAAGTCTTAACTCCAGTCTTTCACCCAACCCGGAGCGCCGCACACATTGTTTTCTCTGCTGTTGCACCGCAGCAGAGGAAAGCTTACCTGATTTAGATTCCAGCTTATGCTGATCCCATGGTGGCTCAACAACCTTGCCAAAATGATGGTCCCATTAATAGGATGTGATTGAATTTATCAAAGAGGTCATGGTGAATTAAAGCACCGAGATCACTTGGTGCTTTATTTATAGATCAAGTCCATAAATTTTAAGTCTATAAATTACAGATAAAATCTGCAAATTGTCATAAAGTCACAGAGGCTACACAGGATAAGGAAGATAACACAACCTTATTTCAGGGAAGAGTGATAGAGGTCTTACGAAAAAATATTAACAGGGGCCTGGTGCAGTGGCTCAGAGGCCAAATGTTTGCACGCGTCAGAATCCCATAGGGGCATCAGTTCGTGTCTCAGCTGCTCCACTTTCTGTCCAGCTCCCTGCTTGTAGCTGAAGAATGCAGTTGAGGACGGCCCAAAGCTTTTGGGACCTGAAAGAAGTTCCTGTCTCCTGGTTTCAGACAGGCTCAGCTCCAGCCGTTGTGGTCACGTGGGGAGTGAAGCAGCGGATGGAAGATCTTTCTCTCTGTGTCTCCTTCTCTGTAAATCTGCTTTTCCAATAATAATAATTATTATTATCCAATTATTATTATTATTCCAATTATTATTCCAATACTTATTATTATTCCAATAATAATAATAAGTAAATCTTTAAAAATACCCATATTAGCATAGACCCTAGCACACATGAATGGCAGATACTACTTGCTACCTTTTTGACCAGTCAGAACTAGCCATGGAACCCCAAGCTCCCACCTTCCAGCTTCTCCTTCTTACCTACCTCCTGGGCCCCTAAGCTCCCACCTTCCAGCTGCTCCTTCTTACCTACCTCCTGGGCCCCTAAGCTCCCACCTACTACCTGCTAGACTTAGCACTGATAGTGAAGCACTATCCCAAACTACTCCCTTTTGAATGAATGCTCAACTGAACTCCAGCCCAAACACCACCTCCTGTATATCTTGACAGCATAAAAGGATGGTCCAAACCTCATTGGAAGGAATTATTTTGCTGGCTTGTTTGGGGGCCTTTGTGTATATGTTTTGACTTTTGGTTCCCTCTTTATCAAGTTGGCTGACTTACCCCTTGAATATGCGTACACTTGTTTGGCTTTCAATAAATCCTGCTTTCCTCTCCACGTCTTGCTTCCACTCTGAATTCTTTCATGCATGGAGGAAAGAATGTGGAATAAACTCAACTTAGGGCCTGTGGCTCAAAGAGAAATCAGTGAATTAAAAATCAGATACAAGGAAATCACACTAACAAAGGAAAATGAGTTCAGAGAGAGGGTCAGATCTGTGAACATGCAAATGCTTTTTTAAAATTTTACTTCATTTTATTATTACCATTTTATGATACAGTTCCATAGAGCATGGAATTTCCCCTATCCCCTCCCCAACTCCCTCCCCCTTTGCTGAGTTCCCCTATATCATTACTATAGTATAGTTCTTCATACACAATCACACGTCCATCGTTCTGGGCATGGACAATGACAGAGAGTCCAGCATCCTATGGACATTCAAATGCTTAATGCACAAATTTGAATCCTGGAGGAAAGGAGAGAGAGACAAAGCACAGGCAAGGAAAAAAATTCTTAAAGAAATATAACTGAGAATTTTATAAAACGAATAACATATACCAATCCAAGAGGTCACTAAATCTTAGCACAAAGCCAAACAGGGCACTATATTCAATAAACAAACCACACCCCTAAGTATATCATATTCAGCTACTGAGAGGAACAGAAAGACATAAATCATAAAGCTTCAAAAGAGTGAAGAAATACATACACAGAACAAAAATATTCTAATAGACTTTAATTCAGAAACCCAAGTAAATTAGAAAATTCATAAAATTATAATCCTTTCAACACTGTTTTTGCTGCAACTCAAGGTTTTTGTTATTCTTGTTTTTATTTTTATTTCTTCAAAATAGTTTCTTCCCTCTTATCAAATTCTTTACCGACTCAGATTACATAATAGCATTATTTTACCCAAGAAGCTTTTGTGTTTTCATTTTCTCATCAACACATTGGTTATTCAGTAGCATTTATACATACTGTATATATTAGGCAATAATTAACATGAAAGATCTTAGATCCACTGGTTTACTCCCCAGTCTGCACAACAGCCAAAGCTGGGCTGAGCCAAGAACTTCTGAGTCTCCTCTGTGGCCTCAGCCGCCCGGGCGCTTTGGCCATCCTCCACTGCTTTCCCAGGTGCACTGGCAGGGAGCTGCATTCAAAGTGGAGCAGAAAGGACTCAAACTGGCACCGGAAGGAATGCTGCTGCCACAGGTGAGGCTTCACCTGCTATGCAACAGCGCCAGCCCCCTGGAAATACTTTTTAAATGCACATTTTATCTTACTTACTGGCACATGATAACCATACTGCTGTTTCTGGATATTACTTAAAGTAAAAATTACGGAATCACTGGAAATCTCAAGGCTAAAACCAGTTTGAATTTAATAACAAAAAATAAATAAATAAATTCAACATTTTCCCTCATTTTCAGTATACTTACCACATCAATCATAACTATCAATTTAGTGATTAGTACTTAAATTAAACCTTATACAAAAATTCCATTTTCTTATCTGTAAATTTTGACTTTCAGCCAGTTGAAGGATTGAGTGAAGTTTTCTTAAATTTCGTTATTAGATTCATCTTAAAGTCTTTGGAAAGGCTAACTTAATACAATTGTGACATGTTTAGCCACTCCAAAGAAGCAAGATGGGTTTCCATATCGAGACTGACAATGCCACAAATATCCCAAACAGAATATAAAGATTCTCAGCTCACATAAACAGGCTTTCTGGGGAGAACAGGGCATTTAGCCTGAAAATGGTTTGAGAAAGCAGAGAAAGGAGAGTGGTTTTGGGGATTAAACGGTGGGACAGGGGTAAGGGGGGAACAGTTTCCATACATGACTTGAACTTCCTGCTGGAGCCACAGGGAGCAACCAGTTTTACCAGCTGTGGGAGAGCAGACGAAAGAAAGGTTGTGAGGTTTAAAGTCTATCAGTAGTCACACAACAAAATATAGTCATATTCTTTATTATTTGACAACTCAATCCAACTAAAATTCAAATACAGATATTGAGCAACATGTTTACATAATTGTATCATGCTAAATGTCTTCATTTAAGATAACTGACAAAAATACAAAATATAATAATGAACTGTTTTGTTGAAGAAACAAATGTTTTCTAAAAAAAATATTTAAGGAAAAAGCAACGCACTAATGCGACCACCACTCAGAGCAATAGTTTTCAGAAGTTATTCTATCCTTTCATACTCAATTTTCTTTCATTAAAGATACTAGTGCAACAGCTAATGTTACAATTTTACCAAGAAAACAACAAAGACTTTGTTTACTGACAATAACATAAATTCTTTGAAATTATTAATAGACTATCACTCTGAATCCAGACACAGTGAAACATAAGTAAAAACAGTAATTTTAAGGATTTCGCTTATTTTTTTTAATTGTGAAAGTAGATATACAGAGAGAAGGTGAGACAGAGAACAACCTTCCATCTACTGGTTCACTCCCCAAACGGCTGGAGCTGAACCAGTTGGGAGCCAGGAGCCAGGAGCTTCTCTCAGGTTTCCAGCATGGGTGCAGGATCCCAAGGACTTAGGCCATCTTTCATTGCTTTTCCAGACCACAATCAGTGAGCTGGATCGGAGGTGGAGCTCCAGGGAAGAAACCAGCACCCAAATGGAATGCTGGCATTTGAAGTTGGAAGATTAGCCAGTTGAGCCATTGTACTGGGCTCAAAAACAATAATTTTAAAAGAATGCTTTAGTTGCTAAAGTATACCCCAGCACTAATTCTGTAGTTACCACTAAAAAGTATGCTGAGCGCCTGAAGGAACTCTTGTTCTTATTAAACCATCTAAAATACTTCTATCATAAAACTGAGGTACCAGAGACAATCAAGGTTAGCATTCACAAAAATAGGAATAGAAAAAACCTATAACAAACATTCTTCTCAAACATGGCTTAAAAATCAAAATCAAATAATCATCAGCTACTGCCATTAAACAAAAGTGAAATGTTCATTACTTAAACATTTAAATTACAACAATCAGATAACCATGTTAATCTATTACTGCTTTAACCGACAAAACAATCTTTGAATTTTCAGTAATAAATTTATGCCCTCGGTGATTTCAGAGTAGTAGAATAATTCAAGAAATTGGTAACCAGGTCAAAAAAAAGGAAACTGTGCTGTATTTTGAGAGGAAGACGAAAAATCCTTCAAGGAAGAAGAGGGTATTGAGCTTTGATCCTGTTCAAATGAGAACGGAAAACTAAAATCATCTTTTCTAGCTCCAAATGCACGAGTTGAAGTATCCGATGGAAATGAAAACGTGAAGGCATCTTCTCCTTCCGGTTTCCTAAATAAATTTCCTGAAGAGAAATATTATAATGTCATATCATTCGTGTTATATATAAAATTTACTTACTTACTGAATTATATATCTTATATACAACAGAGTAACACTGGATCATTCATCTGTTTAGCACATTTAACTGTATTCCCCTTTTGTTGATGGTGCTCATTTTTAGAAACTGAAAGGTTAGAACACTTCTAATCATCTGAACTCGGGCATCAAAAGAACTAGTATACCAGCACAGGGCCAAGCTAGGGTAGAGAGCTTAAGTGAAGAGCCTGAGAGAGACAGAGTCAAGTACACAGAGCAAGCACTGCAGTAACAGAAGTCAACCCCCACTGGCAAGAGCACTGAGAAGCAGTAGAGACGGAAATGAACTTGGGTGGATTAATGAATCTCCCACTTTAAAATACGAATTTTAGGGCCCAGCAGCGTGGCCTAGTGGCTAAGGTCCTTGCCTTGCACATGCAGGGATCCCATATGGGTGCCAGTTCTAATCCCGGCAGCCCCCGCTTCCCATCCAGCTCCCTGCCTGTGGCCCAGGAAAGCAGTCGAGGACGGCCCAAGGCTTTGGGACCCTGCACCCATGTGGGAGACCTGGAGGAAGTTTCTGGCTGCTGGCTTTGGATTGGCGCAGCACTGGCCATTGGGGTCACTTGTGGAGTGAATCAACAGATGGAAGATCTTGCTCTCTGTCTCTCCTCCTCTTTGTATATCTGACTTTGCAATAAAAATAAATCTTAAAAAAAAAAAAAAAGCACACTGGGTTGTGCTTTGGCTGCTCAACTTCCAATCTAGCTCACTGTTTATGGCCTGGGAAAGCAGTCGGGGACGGCCCAAAGCCTTGGGATCCTGCACATGTGTTGCAGACCTGGAAGAGGCTCCTGACTTCTGCCCCCAATAGGCTCAGCTCTGGCCACCGTGGCCATTTGGGTTGTGAACCAGCAGACAGAAGGTCTTTCTGTCTCTCCTCTCTGTTATCAGCTTTTCCAATAAAAATAAACAAATCTTTAAAAATAAACCTACATGATTTCAAAATTTTTGTACCAAAATAGGTTTATTTTAATAAACTTACCTATTTTATAAAAGATTTGTTTTTACAGGAAAGTAATATATAGAGAGAAGAGAGACAGAGAGGAAGACCTTCTGTGCGTTGATTCACTTCCCAAGTGGTCGCAATGTCTAGAGCTGAGCCAATCCAAAGCCAGGAGCCCAGAGCCTCTTCTGGATCTCCCACACAGGTGCAGAGTCCCAAGGCCTTGGGCCATCCTTGACTGCTTTCCCAGGCCACAAGCAGGGAGCTGGATGGGAAGTGGGGCTGCCAGGGTTAGAACTGGTGCCTATATGGAATTCCAATGCATTCAAGGTGAGGAATTAAGCCGCTAGGCTACCGTGCTGGGCCCATACTTACCTACTTTTTAAAAAGTTTGTTTTATTTGAAAAAGCAGAGCAACAGAAAGAAAAAGAGAAATTCCTTCCACTGATTCACTCTTCAGGTGTCTGCGACAGCCAAGGGAGGTCCAAGATGAAACCAGGAGCCAGACCCGACCCGGCTCTCCGCAGTGGGAGACAAAGCCTCAAGCTGATGCGTTATTCGCCGGCTGTCTCACAGCTTGTGCAGCAGGAGGGCTCTGGGCGCAAGTGGAGGAGGGACTTGAACCCAGGAAGTGAGACATGGGATGTGGGATGCAAACATCTCACACGGTGTCCTAACTGGTGAAGCACGTTCACCTCTGCTGCCTGCAGGTCCTGGAATTTCTGAAGGGCCCTTGCACGTGGTATTGTTAAGTAAACAGACAGAATAACTAAGAGATCATAGGTCTTTCTAATTTGTTAAAATAAATTTATGTATAAAATTATTTAGGTGATTACTTCTAGGATTGACATTAGGAAAAATACTGTTTTTCACTAAACATGTTACTTAAAACTACAATTATAAAATATTGAAACATCTTAATCGTAATTTTAATGCACTATTAAGCAATTAAAAGCCCATGGTAAATAAGATTGATTTGAAAATAAGTCTTTTAAGGCATCTATACTTATCCCAAGAGAACGAATCAACCTATACAACATTAAACAAAGGAAACGACTCTGTGTCACTTTGAAATATTTATGTATTTCTAAACAATCTCTCTCACTTCACCCTAACTAGAGTTGGACCAAACAGCAATAAACGGGTAGGTTTTCACACACCCTCTCTCGCCCTTCTCATTTCACATTTACACTGACATCAGTAGCCATCCCTAAGACTTGAATGAACACAGCTGTAAGGTAGACATGGATGCAAAAAGAACGAAGATCCTGAATCTTTCTGAGCAAATCTACTGATTTTGTTTTTTTTGTTCAGACTTCATCTGAAATCATTAAGTAACATATATGCTCATCAAAAATAAAATTTTAAGTGACTATGCAAGATGGTGATTCTAAGCGTGTGGAGAACTCAGAGGTGAATAAAACTGAGTTCATGGCCTCAAAGAAAGCATCTATGATGACATATTCATAAATAACTAATCACAGAATTCAGAATATTTTTAAAGTATAAAAAAACTACTTAAAAAAGTGAGGGAAGCATATTTTCAGAATGGGAAGTTGAGGAGGGAACCTGGTCTTAAAAGACAAAGAAATACAATTGGGTAAGGGAATGTGTGCATATCTGTGACCCACTGAGTGGATTTCATTCTAAGTGGGTGAGGACATGTGGACATATTTGTTTTATAAACTGAAATACAATTAGCAATATTTAGAAAAGCAAGTTTTGGTAAAGAAGTAATAGAAGAAGTTAAATTGCTTTATAAGAACAATGAATGGTGTGTAATTATTGATGATTTTTGAACAAAAAAAAACCTAAGAAACTCAGAAACTAAAATACTAATCAGAAATATTAATATGCTTTCATATATAGCAAACTTCAAATTACTTACCAATTTCTTGTTGTGATGAAACAGGATTTAGATTTCCCTCAGAATAACGTTCATTAAACTGGAAAATAATTACCACAACATATTCCTTAAGCAATCCGGACAACACTACATGTGTACACATATATACGCATATAATGTTCATATCTGAATCTAAAGCTTAGAATTAGAGTCCACATACCGCCAGCTTTCTGAACAGCATCTATAAACTAAAAACTCGATCTGTCGTCAAAACCTTTTACTTACACTAACACAGGGCCACAAATATGATTTCAGGTGATACAGAAAACGTGAAAATATACATTGTGCTAAGGTTAGCTTGTACTTTTGAATCTTAATCTAAGATTCCATTTATCTTTTTGCTGTTTTTCAAAAAAAAACAAAAAACTAACAAACCTTCCTATAAACATAATAATAGTGTGTCCCATAACAGTGATTAGAGCTGCATTTACAACGCCAGCATCCTGCTGTTCCACCTACAATCTGACTTCCAGCTAATGAACCTGTGAAGGGCAGAGGATGGTGTACCTACTCAGGCCTCTGCATCCCACATGGGAGACCCAGATGGACCTTTGGGCTCCTGGCTTTGGCCTGGTCCACCTCTAGCCATTCCAGCCTTTAAGAGTCTACAACAGCAAATGAAAACATTCTCTTTTTCTGTAACATTGCCTTTCAAATAAGTAAATCTTTAACAAATAATAATAAACCTTTAACAAATAATAAATCTTTAACAAATAAAAAAACAGTAATAGGAAGTTGATTCATATCAGTTAATATCAATTTTGTTGCCACCTCAGCAATATGGACTTATTAAACATGGAGAAGAGGACTGGATGCTAAGCACAACAGTTAAGACACGGGTTGAGATGCCCACATACTCTATCAGAACGCCTAGGCTCAGGTGACTCCTCTCTTTCTGATCCTCCTTCTTGCTAACGTGCACCCTAGATGCAGGAGGTGATGACTCAAGCACTTGAGCTCCTATACGCCCTTATGGGAAACCAACACGGAGTTCTGGGGTCCTGATTCTTGCCTGACCCAGGCCTGCCTGTTGAGGGCATTGGGGAGTGATTCAGTAGATGAAAGAAAAATGAAAATAAATTTAAAACTAGGATGCTTCAATACTATAAACAGCTAAATACTAAAATGAAAATAGACACGAGACAGCTGAATAGTAATCTATAGCCATTTTGAGGTGTATAGAACCCAGTTGAATATAAACCAAAATTGAAACGTCTATGAAGAAATCACAGGATGCAGTTAAGAACCTGCATTTTCCTATTAACATATTGGTTAATCAATACCATGTCAATTAATGCCATAATGTTGTAAATTGTTGTTGATGTTATGTTGGGGCTTTTAATTGATTGGGATGATATTCTGCCAGCTTTACCTTCAGACCAGAGATGGTCTCACCAAGAAATTGTTGAACTCACTAGGATAATAAGATGCTGGACTTTATGCTTGGTAAATACTTCCAATGAAAGAATCTCAACTGAATTTGAACTGTGGTAATGCAACAAGGTGGAGAAATCCACCATGGGGAGAGGGTTCGGGGAGGGGTGGGGGGAATCCCAGCACCCATAACACTGTGTCACATAATGCAATGCAATTAATAAAAATAAAACAGGATCACAACAGCACAGTTTCCAGTATTGCTTTTATTCTTCTAATGTTGCACTGTCAACATTTTCTGATTTTATTCTGAAACTTGGTCCTTCAGCAGTATAGTATTCTCTCACGTACACAAACCAAAACTTTTCAGCAGATCTCTTATTTTGAATATTTAGGTTGTTTCAACTCTTATTCTTTCTTTTCTTTTTTTTTTTTTTTGTTAAGATTCATTTATTTATTGGAAAGTCAGATATACAGAGAGGAGGAGAGACAGAGAGAAAGATCTTCCGTCCAATGATTCACTCCCCAAGTGAGCGCCACAGCTGATACTATGCTGATCCAAAGCCAGGGACCAGGAACTTCTTCCGGGTCTCCCACATGGGTGCAGGGCCCCAAAGCTTTGGGCCGTCCTCAACTGCTTTCCCGGGCCACAAGCAGGGAGCTGGATGGGAAGTGGAGCTGCTGGGATTAGAACCGGCGCCCACATGGGATCCCTGGGAGTTCAATGCAAGGACTTTAGCTGCTAGGCTGCTGCGCCAGGTCCAAGTTTATCAATTTTTTTCAATTATCTTCAAAGACCTAGCTTTGGTTTTATTGATTTTCTTTCACACTTATCTTTCATCTCATTCTTTCTGTCCCTAGCATTCGAATTTTCTACTTACTTTGAATTTGCTTTACTGCTGCTTTTCCAACATCTCATGACAGAATTTCAGGTCGCAGATTTAAGATCTTTCTTCTTTTCTATTAATTATTTCAATCATTAATAAAAATATTTAAAGCCACCATTTTGTTCTGGCTTTAGCAACGTCTACAAGTTTAAAATTATTTTTTCATTTTATTTGGGAGGCAGAAAAGCAAAGAGAAGTCTTCAACCCACTGCTCACATACCCACAATAGCAGGGTGGGCCAGAAAAAACTTCAAAATTTCAACTACAAAAGTTCAAAAATTGTGGCCTAGAGCCAGAAACTGAATCTGTGTCTCCAACATGGGTGGCCCGAGACCCAAGCTCAAGCATCTGCTGCCTCTCAGAGTGCACTTGGCAGGAAGCTGGATTGGAAGCAGAAGAGCTGGGGCTTAACCCAGGCATCCCCATGTGGGATGCTGCTGTCTTAGGCAGAAAACAATTTGCAAATATACACTTGATTCTTTTCTCCATGGTTTTTTATCAGCTGAATTTTCACTCTTTTTTTAGAAATATTTTCTTATTCATCTCATGATTGCTTTGATCTTTGGGTCCCTACACCCATGCTAGAGACCCAGAAGAAGCTCTTCGCTCCTAGCTTCCGGCCTGCATTGCTCTGTCTATTGTAGCAACCAGTGGATGGAAGATATCTTTGTCACTCTTCCTTTCTTTCAAGTAAAATGAATCTTTTAAAATTAAAAATGATAAAAATAAAAACCCTACCCAAAGATTCTTCTTGTACTGACCAAAGATTTTTCTTTTATTAATGTCAATTTGGGGTATTCTTTACTGTACTACCAATACTCCAAATTTCTAAAATATTGCCTTTTTATTATTCTTCCCCAGAACAGTTTGGAATTAGACCACTAAAATTACTGAAAGTTACAGTAAACAGTTTTTAGAAATAAAACTTTAATATATCATGTTACCTGATCTGATGAGATTTCTGAATCAAATATGGAAGAATCAAATAAATTCAGTCCAGGTGATTGAGAAGTATAACTCATAAGAAAAGAAAATCCAGGGGATTCCTTTTGTGCTTGATCTTCAGGTATTGCATTCCTATTTCTGTTACAGAAAAAATAAAGTCATCAAACTTGCTAAAAATCTACTGTTAACCACACAGACTGATTCCATTATTAAGGTTCCTACCTTAATAATGACAGAGAGAAGGGAATTAACTAGGAAAATGTAGGAAGTAGCAAATCTATGGAGAAAGGGTGATTTGGGGTAGACAATAACATTAATAAAGCGGAAAAATGAATTTTGGGGTAATTATGAATCATGTACACTAAGAACATACTGTCAGACTTCATACTGGTGCTTAGACATAACTAGCTATTCTCCCAATAACCCTGTAAGACGGGGGACTGAAGGTGGCCAGTGTTGTGGCATAGGAGCTAAGCTGCCCCTACAACACCAGCAGCCCAGAGGAGTGCTGGTTTGAGTCCTGGCTGCTCCACTTCTGACTCGGGTCCATGTTAGTGCCTGGGGAAAGCAGCAGACGGCTCGAGTGCTTGGGTCCCTGCCACCCCCGTGGGAGACCCACATCAAACACCTGGCCTCAGGTTTCCACTGAGCCCATCTCCATCTCTTAATTACTCTTCGAAATAAATCTTTTCTCAAAAAAAAAAATAGTCACTATTTCTATCACCCTTAATTTACTATATATATGTTCAAAATCACTCCATAATAAAGACTTGTTAAGATTACAGGTTTAGGCATCTTCCAATCCCTATCAATTATTTCTACAGCCCAAAATAGGTAATTTTATTATGACTGTTAAAATATCCCACATTTCAAATGTCGGGGTTTTTGGAAACTGTATTTTCTCCAATGAATCAGGTGTTTTCACAGCTTCAGTTCTTAAAAACATAGGAATTTCAGGAGTTTGTGAAAAGTTCTCAGTTTGTTCTTCTACTTCATCACTACTATTTTCTATTGATTTTCCAAAACGTTCTGTGTAGACAGTCTGCAAATGCAAAGCAACAGGAAACTATAAAAATTGCAGTAATTGAAGACATAAAAGCATATATGGTAAAAGCACTAAATCTATGATGTTATTATTTCACAAAGTAAAATAATAATCGATAAAAGTGATGTTAATATATTTACCTAGAATCAGAAAAATAATTAATTTCAGTTATCTAGGTTCTCTTTTCTTCCTGGCTCAAACAATGCGAGTGACAGTCAGAAGATACTAAAGTTGACAGAGAAAAATGGCTAGCAATGATTTTTCTTTTATAATTGCCACATTCTACTTTGGTTGAAAAACTGCATATACCACCTCCTTAAAAGAGAAAAGTAACTCAAATCTTAAAACCAATCTTATTGTCTGGCTTAGCATGTTTTTGCACCATTTTGCTCTTATGACCTCAATATTCTATTTTCTCCACAAAGATGAAGAATCTGAATACCATTTTTTTAAAATTATTATTTTGTAGCCAGAGGTGGGAATACACAAACATGCTTACTACATCAAATCTCATGCCAGCATCACAGGCACTGTCTTAACTTGGCATGCCACAGCGTCACTTTCTCTCTTTCCTTTCTCTCTCTGCCTTTCGAATTAGTAAATACATAAAATCTTCTAAAAATAATTCAAAGATATTTTTACGGGTATCATTAGTCTGGAATTAATATGGCAAATCATTTACATTTTAGTAGTGGTCTTCACATATACCATCAGGTATCAATAATACTTTTTTATATATTTTCACATAAACTTTTTGTGGATTCCTTTTTAATACGAGAAGTGGAATCTGAATCCTCAGAAACCTGATTAACAAACCAAAAACATCACAGATTGATAATCCTCATTGTACTGAATCTAAAATGTAAATGGATGCAGAAGGTCTTAAATTGGGATGCTTAGCTTCAAAGTAAGAAACGAAACATTTAACTTACTTGTGAAGTAGATTTTGATTCTCTCAGTTTTCTCACTGGCCCTTTATCTCCATACTCAGCATCTGCTTTTTTGAAAACAAATTATTGGGGGGTGGGAGTTTGGGGGGTAATCCCAGCCTTTACGTAATTATACCACATAATTCAAAATTCAAAATAAAAATCTATTAAAAATTATTTCTCTTTTTGTAACTTATGCTAGTTGAATCATGAAAATACCAGTATTTGGCTGTTTTAACCTACAAAAGTGGCAACTTAATAGTTCAACCCACTACAGCAAGAAAAGGATAAGAAAATATAATATAAACAGTTAGACAAAATTACAAGGAACATTCACAAAACCACCACGCAGCTAAAGAAATAAAGTATCATGAGCACTCCGAAAGACCCCAAATCTCTGTCTTCCTCCTCAGGAACAATCACGATCCTGACTTTCTATAATAATTTTACTTTGCTTTATGTAGTTTCACCACTGAAACAACTGTTTTTTCCTATTTTAAAATGTACAATAAAATGTGTGCCATTACATCTTTTTCACATAGCATATGCTTCTGAGATTCATCCACATTATGCCAAACACAGATTTCTTATTCTTACTGATATCAAATATTCCATTGTAAAAACAATATGGTATGCCTATCCATTCCACTGCAAATTAGCATTTGGAAAGCTTCTGCTTTGAGGCTATTACCAACAATGATAGCATAAACATTCTTTGACACATACTGTCACAGGATGTACACCTAGGAACAGAATCGTGAAGTTATAAGTGTGTCTTTCATTTTGACAGATGCGATTTTTATCGTGACAAGAGACCATCCTGAACTGCCCTCAAGAAATCATTCACTCTTTCTGCACAAAATTATCAGTTCCAGTTATAATTAAATTTTGATCTCATTAAATGAGCTTACTAATAACTGTTTTGTCCTATATTCCCATTAATTCTTAGTATTGAAGACTTCAAAAATTTGCTTAATTGGTGAGTATGTAATGATATTTCACTGTTGTTTTATTTTGCAGTTCTGTGAGTTGCTAAATATATTTTTAAGAACCAGACAGACACACAGAAAGAGAGTAAGTTTTCCTCTGCTGGTTCATTGTACAAATGCCCCTAACAGTTGGGGCTGAGCCCAGCTGACTAAGAACTCTAGCGGCTTGTGGCTGTGGGGAAGTGAACCAGTGGATAGGGGAGTTCTCTCTTCCTCTCTGCTTATTCCTCACTATCCCTTTCTATCCCATTCCCTTACCCCTTTCAAATAAATTAAATTTCGGAAAGTCTCAAGGAATCCTATGTTCTTCCAAAATAATTATACCCTTTTTAAAACATAGGTAAGTATGTTAAACAGCAGGTAGAACTAAGTCAGACACGTAAACTTCTTTACACCTTTTATTAGAAGGATTATAAGCAGTTGGACAGATCAACTGGAAATGTAAAATACAAGTTTTTCTCTCAGAAGAAAGAAGAGAGGATATTAAAATTGAGTAAAATAAGTGTATTGTGTTGGGCAGGTACACTACGAGAAACAGAGCCACACTACGTTATATGATTGCTCCTAATATGCACATATTTGCATAATTTTCATGCCACCAAAATGAAACAGCTTTTCCATGCTAAAAATAAGTCAGTAATCAGATAAGAAATGGTAAAAATTAATTAATGTAATAACTGTCATGGACTACTTGGTTACCAAAATATGTGCATAACACATAACATTATACATAGATATACACACATGTATATGTATGTATATATAGAAACACACACATGTATGCACACAGGTATGTTGTATGTATCCATATGTACACATGGAGAGAGTGTTAGTGTTTTCAAGGGTATGTCACAAGTTCCAACAACTAGTTGATTTTAGAATAATAAACTCAAATATATATTATGTAATTTTTCTGCGATTTTATTCAAAGCAAATAGACCAAGATAGTAAAAAGATTAGTGTAAAAGAATATAGTAGTATTATTTAAGTTTTAAACACTAGAAATGACAAAATATTCAATGTGAGAGAGTGGCTGGATAATTATAGCATATCTACACAATAGAACATTACAAATAAAATCTATTTAATAATATAGGGAAATATCTCAAATGTGTATCAAGCGAAAAAGGATACAAAATTATGTAAATGGTATGACTTAAATTTAGGAAGAGAGATGAACAAAGCATACATACTCACAGGAAGAAAAAGAGAACAAATGTCAGCATATGTATCATGTCACTGAAGGCTAGTGACAGTATTTTTGGTTCCTTTGTAATTTGCTACAATGACTGCACTTTTTGTTTAAGAAAAAAACTTGCTTTAAAGCCACACTTGCATAGTAAGTTAAAAAGAGACACAAACAATTCAAATGATATTTGTAAAGTACAAAATCCTATACATTATTTATTATCCCTACTTGGGAAAAATATGTACACAGTACCTACCTGTATGTCCCTTTTCAAACCACTGGTTACAGTTTGAATGCCTCTGTGGAGTCAGCAATCTAAAATGCAATAAATACATTTTAAGTAATTTTCTAATCTCATATTCATAAACTGCCCCGGAAATTATGGTATTTCCTTATTTAAAAAAATACCTGAATTGCAGTAAATTTTGTGAACTTTTTGGATGGCTATTTACCACAGAGTCATTAAATATCTGAAAGAAAAATATTAAGTCTCAGACTTTGCTATGCTTCTTCACTTGTTCACCCGTCCTAACTCAGTGCCCTTTTAGTTCATGAAGTTCATCACCATCATCACCACCATCATAAATCCTGGCAACTGAACCTATTACATACAAAACACACAGCCAATTCTGGAAAATGAGAAGTTTAAGACTCTCAAGGAATCTAATGCTTCTGACAAGTGTAATAACTATTTGCGGCTATACTTCTACAGTTTAAATTAAACCATTTAAAATATTATCCCATCCATTTACATAGTAATTAATAAATCTTTTCATTTTCTCAGTTGATCACCTGATTTTTGTGCCCCTCTATCCTGTAAAATGTTTCAATCTGCACATAAGAAAACAACAGATTAAAAGACTATAGCTCAGGCCTGGCGCGATAGCATAATGGTGAAGGTCCTCGCCTTGAACACACAGGGATCCCACATGGGCGGCGGTTCCAATCCCAACTGCTCCACTTCCCATCCAGCTCCCTGCTTGTGGCCTGGGAAGGCAGTCAAGGATGGGCCAAAGCCTTGGGACCCTGCCCCTGCGTGGGAGACCTGGAGGAGGTTCCTGGCTCCTGGCTTCGGATCGGCACAGCACCAGCTGTTTCACTCACTTGGGGAGTGAATCACTGGACAGAAGATCTTCCTCCTGTCTCTCCTCCTCTCTGTACATCTACCTTTCCAATAAAATAAATAAACCTTTAAAAAAAAAAAAAGACTATACCTCAAAAAAAAAAAAAGTATTTGAAAAGCTGAGTTCCGGAGACAAGACCAACAGATATAAGGAAATGAGTCCTCCATGTGCTGGGTCACTTCCCAGATGGCTGCAACTGGTAGATCTGCGTGAGGCTGAAGCCAGGAGCCTGGAACTCTGTCTAGCTCTCCAACATGGGCAGTAGCAATTCAAGCACTTGGGCATTCTTTCAGAGTCAGAAGTGGAACAGCAAGGATTTGAACTGCTATTCATATGGGATACTGCCCTTGAATTTTTTTAGAAAATGCATATGAAAAACACCATTTCAATTTTTTAAGTATTTAAATATTACATACTAATATCTAATATCAGTATCTGAACCATTGCTTTATTAATGCTTATTTGAAGTCTGTCATTCTCCCTGTACTGCTGCAGATTTTGAAAAACCCGATTTTTATCTGACTCAAGATTAAAAGTGTCTCATTTATTAAAATAACAGCCTTAATTCTGTCATTTTGTTTTACTTTTAGATTCTAAAAGTGTCAATCTCCCTTAAAGAACAAGTGCTGTTACTACACTGATACTCATTGAGACAATGTATATATCTGTTTTTTTTTTGTTTTTTTTTCAATATAAAAAAATAAAATTTATTTCAAAATGTTAAGTGTATGAAAATGACAAATTATGCCTGCTCAAAAATTATCAAAATATCCCAAGCTAAGCCTGATTTGTGAATTGTGAAATGTATATATCTGTAATGACTCCCAGCACAAACTATCCATATATCTGAGAACATGCCAGGAAGTGAAACTGCTGAGTATGTGCATTTTTAAGTACTGTTACCCACTCTTCCAAGTGGCGATATCAAATTAAACCACTCACATTCTATCCTTACTTGACGGTGTAAAGCTTTTAATGGCTGCTAATTTGATGGGCGAAAACAGGAATTTCAAGGGCTTAATTTGCCACTATGTGGGTGGGGGAGGGTGTGTGTGCGTGTGTTTGCTGGGGGCATTAGAAGAGTGAACCATCAAATGGGACCATCACGTCTTCCTAAAAAAATAAAATATTTCTTAAATAAATAGCTTTTATGTGAAACAAAATAAATAACCCTTTAATATCCTGAAGTATTTTCTTCCTTCCCCTCCCACCCCTAGGTTCCTAGACCCCTCAGAAGATATTTTTTGTGGGTTTTTTTTTTTTTTTTGGTGTATTCCACCTAATTTTGAATAATCAGACCAGAATTTCTCAAACGAGATGCTACTGACATATGACTGGGTAATTCTTTAGACACATCACACTCAAGCAGCATCTCTCCTCCCCATTTTGATGACAGAAACATTTCCAGATTGTCAGTATCTCCTGAGAAGTTAAAGCACTCCCAGTTGCTTAAACCACCGATTCCAGAACATAGGGAGAGGGAATCTTTTATATTCAGACTTTGTCACAGCCGCAGTTTTTCACAGTATGAGTATATAGGTGTAATTTGTCCATGGAGCCTGCAGATACGCAGTTCTGTTAATGAGTGTTAAACCGGGTCTCATTTTTACGGTTACTTTTTTGGTTTGTTCAGAACTGTTTCTGGTGTCTTGTTTTGTTTTGTGCTTATAATGCTTTCCAGTCATTTTATCTATGCCCTCATGCCTGCTTTTGTAGGCTCAAGTTTTCTTTGCTTTATTTTTTTCCTCTACAGTCTTAAAAATAATAGTCTATTTCTCTTTTTCTCTTAAATGTTTAACCTACAGGCACACATTTATATTTTCTACCACTGAATAGGATTTTTGCATCATGTCTTCACCTGCATCACATTCCTCCAAATCAAGACGTACGTAAACTTCATTTTCCTATTATTCCATTTTATCCCTTATTGATAGCATCCGGAATTTTAGCACCAGGTTTTAAAGTTGGCATAACGAATACATATATACTTAGTTTGACTTAAGGAACACTAGATGCTTTGGTTACGGTTATCCTTTATCAATGAGTTCATGGAAAAAAGTTATACCTGCCATTGAGAACTTCCCTTTGGACTATTTGCAGGAGGATGGGAAGAAAGTGGCGCGCCAGCAGCAGTTCCCTTTCTAGGAGCCCCTTCATTCTTCACACACATCAAGAACAGGGCACCCACCTGCCCCTCCCCCGGGTCCCGTACTCACTGTTTTCACCTGCAGGCAACCCTCATCCTGCTGACCCTGACCAAAAGCAAGAGGAAAAAGAGATTGAACAGAGGTTAACTTAACTCCCAGCAAGAAACCCAACCCAGCTCCCTACTCATTAGCCCTAGACTTCCATATAACGGAACAGATTTCTCCCAACCAAGTCTCAACCTACAATTTCTCTCTCAATTCAATCCTGTTTTTCTTTCAGAGATTTCTCCTAGGTTTTGATCTACCAACTATAGGGGTTGGTATTTTTAATATATTTCTGATTATTTCTAGAAGGGGGGAAGATCATGTTCAGAACATCATACTGAAACATTTTTTTAACACTGAGGTAGTTTATAGTGGTTGATTTAATATTTATACACACACATATACACAAACCTGTATCCTTAGTATATCTATTATTTCATTAAATATAAGAGAATATTTAATTTATGCTAGTAAAAAGTAAATACCCACCTGTGTATCATTTTCTTTTTGTCTGAAGTCAATACTGGCAAGCTTTGACTGCTTCACAGAGCTTTCTTCACTTTTATCTAGATTATGAAATAGTACTACCTCAAATCAATTCTGGAGACAGAATCAAATACCATCCCCAACATTTAACCTTATAGTTTAAAAATCAGAACTGCAAGAATGAAATTATAAATAGTGACTATAAAATTACAGATTGACTCTTAATTTCTCACTATGCAAAAGTTAGTATAATCAGAATGTGAAATGACAGAGTAACCAACTAACAAAACTACATTTATGGCTACCCAAAGTTAAAGTGGTGCTATAAATGCTGGAGGGAAAACATCCAATCTAATTAAATCTAACTTGTAAACCCATTTTATGAAACCACAGTCAGATACAAAATCAGATATCTTAGTGGCCAATATATAAGTACCATTAACACAAATCCCACTTAAACTCTCCTGTTCACACACGTTTCCTCAAATGCAAGAATTATTCATTCTCCTCTGATAGCTGTGAAATCAAATAAGAACATTTTCTTTTTCAAAGAGAAAAATGAAACATTTACTTTAAGAATACAATACTTGGACCATATAGGTTCTTGTATACCAAATATAACACAGTATCTGTTTTTACTTCTTCTATATGTTTGCAAAGAAAATGAAGTTTATGAATAATAAATATACTGTACCTGTAACTCTTGGTTCTGAAGAATGTATCTTAATCGGTCTTACTAATTTCTGAGATTCATAAGGGAGAAATAATTTACTGCTTTGAGGAATTTTATTCAATACAACTACGTGTTCATCTTTTTCAAAAATCCTAAAGAGAAGAACAGATTAAATATTAGCTAAGTAAAAGCTAATGTATTTTAAGGCCAGAAGAACATTTAATACTGTATGGTTAAAGCACCTCTCACTTTGCTGATCATTTAAAGGCTTGCCCGATAGCATTAAATTGTTGGCACAGTCAGAACTAAAACAATTTCTTTTCTGATTAAGTCCAATGTTCTTCTGAGTACGCTACACTTCTTAAAGATATTATTGGTTTACATATAATGTATGTATTTTGAAAGGCAAAGAGACAGAGACATGCCTTCCACCTGCTGGCTTACCCACCACCAGACCAAAGGTGGAAGCACAGAACCAGAAACATGCTTCCCCATCACGGAAATGTCTAAATGTCTGAGCCATCACCTGTACCTTGGGACTTGAACTCATGCACCTGAGCTCATAATGTTTCCATAACTCCTGCACCAAACACTTGCCCCAGTATACCATTTTTATTTTTAAAACATAAGGGTCATAAATCATGACAGCGTCCCATGAAAAATGTCTGGGCTTAAATTACAGCTCTGCTCTCAATGCCAGCTTCCCATTAATCCATGCCCTGGGAGACAGTAACTGGACTCCTGAAGCCCACTTCAGAGACCTAGACTAAATTTCTGGCTCCTGGATTTTGCTCTGCACAGCCCTGGCAGCTCTGAGCTTTTACATGGTGAACCAAAGGAAGGAGAAATCTTGTTGCAAACACCCCTTCTTCTCCCTAATTAAAAATGTTGACCACATTAATATTTCAGAGTTAAAAATGATTTATACAGATACACAGAAACAAATCAATTAGTATGAATACAGGGACCAATAAACAAGTACTATAAATATGTCTCTTAAGTTTTTTATTTGAAGAACAATTTCGTTAATTTGTTTCTAATTCAAACAGAATAAATGTTATAAAAATGCAGTAACTCTCCATCTGCTTACCATTGATGGACATGTTCCAGGATTCAGTGAATGCCTGTATATAACCCCTTTTCCTTACTAAGTGCTTATCACACACTGTGGCCACACTTGCAGACTGAGCTACAGCAAAATCAGCATGAATTTCTTCTTTTCTTCACAATTTCACAGGTGTGTTTTTACCAGAGAAATCAATAATATTATGACACAATTTTTTTCTTTCCTATTATGTCAATAACTTTTACCTTTTTCACTTAAAAAAGGAAGCACTTTGTGCTTTGATTTGGCAGATACAAGCTGGGACCAAGTTCCACTTTAGGATCATTATTAAGTAAAATAAGGACTAACTGAACACAAACATGGTGTTACAGTGACAACCGAGCTGAACATCAGGGGGCTATTTCATGATTAACGTGGGGGAGTGGTGTGGCAAGAGGTGGGAGTATTAAGGCACTAAATGCAACCTGGATACACCAGACAAAGGGATGGTCGTGAGCTGAAAGAATTAGATGGTGTAAGAGTTTATCAAGCTATTCAGAGCCATGCACAATTTAAATTTCTGCATTGTTCTTTTCTAGAATTTTCCATTTACTATTTTCGGGCTATGATTCACTACAGGTAAACAACACTGTGGAAAATCAACTCATGGACAAAGAGGGTACTACTTTATATAGTAAATAAAATCGTGGACAAAGAGGCTACTGTTCTATATACTGGGTAAAGTCATGGACAAAGAGCATGCTGCTCTATATACTGAGTAAAACTCTGCAACCCATGCAGGTGAAGCTCATGGTTCCTACCCTCAGTCTGGTCCAGCCTCAGCTGTTGTAGTTATCTGGGGAGCAACTTGCAGATGGAAGATCTCTCTCTCTACTGCTCTGCCTTTCAAATTAATCTTTTTAAAAATTCTTAAATAATTATGTAAGTTCCCTTCAACACACAAGATTTTGGATTAAAAAAATCAATCTTCATCTTTAACGCCTCCACCACTGACACCTATTTTTATCACCCTTTGTGCAATGTCACAGATGAAATAGCACGTGCTGGCTTATCTGTATCCTTTGTAGCAAAGGAGCAGCTGATGGCGCTGGTAACAGGGCTGAGGCAATCTCGGGGAGACCTGCCAGCAGGCCTCCAGGCCACTGAGGGGAAGGCGGCCAACTCCACTGCCGTTCCTCTCCGTTTCTCCTGCTTCATTCCCACTGGAGGAATTGAACACATCAAGTGGGAAATGGGCTGCTGCCATCACCTTTCTCTCTACAAATTATCCTTGCTTTGCTAACACTTAGACATAAATTCGTCATCTTTAAGTTATTCTTGATAGCAAATGAACATAACGAGGCGACACAAGAAACATACATAGATGCTGTGTAAGTGTCAGTGGCTTGGGACACGACAGACTTTGATAAGGAGTACTTCACTCACCGAACAGCCAGTGTTAGAGTGTAACCCTACCTTTCTTTCAATTCCTTTCTCTTTTCTGTACTTTTGATCTTTTCTTCCAGAGTTTCTGAAAGATTCTTATTTTCATAAAGTCTTGCAATCTATGAAACAGAAAAATGAATAAGCAAAACAACTGCCTACAAAGCAGTGTGTTAACTAATAAATGTGATTTCTCTATATAATCCCATAACTTATAGTTTCAGTAGTATTCACCCTTACCAAAAGCTGCTGAAACAGGGTTAAAATAAACAATAAATCACATTTCTTTAACTCTTCTTTACATTCTATTAACAAACACTAATTTGGGGAAAAAGAATAGTATTTAGAAAAGTAGATACTGATTACCACATACATGGGCTAAAATTTTAAACAGCTCAAGAAAATGTAATTAAAACATTCATTTTGGTGTCGGTGAAACCTGAATTTAAGCATATGAAGGGTCTTCAGAAACATTTATGAAAAACACGAATGGAAAAATATGCATGGATTTCAGACTTTCACACCAAAATAACCTATTTCCATATTTCTTTAAAATACCATTTATTAAAATCCACTTCTCATTAGTAAAATTATGTTACTATCACTTGGTACTTCTTTGGTTTTTTTCACTTGGTATTCAAGAAAAGTTGATAAACACACCATCTTTAATAGAATTTTCAGACCTAGCATGATGGTTCAATTGGCTAATCCTCCCTTGCATAGCAGTAGGATCTCATATGGGTGCCAGTTTATGTCCTGGCTGCTCCACTTCCCATCCAGCTCCCTGCTCGTGGCCTGGGAAAGCAGAAGTGGTTGGCCCAAAGCCTTGGGACCCTGCACTCATGTGGGAGACCCACAAGAAACTCCTGGTTCCTGGCTTCAGATTAGCTCAGCTCTGGAAATTGCAGCCATTTGCGGAGTCAACCAGCAGATGGAAGATTTTCTGTCTCGCCTTATCTTTATAAATCTGCCTCTCCAAGAAAAATAAGTAAATATTAAAAAAGAAGAATTTCCAAAAATAAAAGTCAAAATGTTAGGTATTAGACTCATTTTTATTTTCTCAAAATTAGAAAGTGACTTGATGGGTTCTCATCCATGTAAATTAAAACTACAACTCAGCACTAAAGATATTTTCAAAAAGTCTTAAAGGCTAGATGTAATTGTAACATATATCACGAAGACTATAATGTTCTAGCATACATCTCTAAAGACTGTAAACTACACTCATAGATTAAGAAACAGTTGTAGCTGTCTTACTGTATTTAAATTGTTACTAAGTTACATATCTTTTTTTAAAGATTTTATTTTTATTGGAAAATTGTATCATTTTCCCCTCTTCCTCTTTCCTCAAAAATCATAAAAAATCAAACTGTTTCCTAAAACTCAAGTTGAATAGATTCAGAATATAAAATCACAGCTGATTTCAATAATCATCTGAGGCAAATACATTGTCTTAAGTCTTTCCTTTACTTAGACTCTCAACTATATCTATGGTAAGACTATCAACCAACAGTCCATTACACATATATGTTAAGATATTAAAATATATATAATAAAATGTATACCTGATTTAAATAATTGATTTCTATTTCCAATTCTTCTGCTTCTTTCTTCAATTCAGATGACATTTTGATAAAATTGTTAGCATGCTTAAGAATTTCTTGGGTTTTACATCTCAGATTAACTCTTTTTTTATGTTAAGGAACTATGTCATGTAAATAAATTTTATATCTATACTTTATATGTATATTCCACAGTAACAACTAAGAATATCTGGAAACCAAGACTAATGGTATGACAAACTAATAAAGATAATTTATTGCTACTGTTAAACATTGAGATTAAATCTCAGTTGAATCTTCCATCTGTACTTTCTCCTTGAATTAGATTTACATCAATTTCAAATAGAATCTCTGATATTAATAGATATCCTACATGATTATTATCTAAAATAATTTGCTAAGTGTTCTCTACATCTGTTAAGGAGAGTTTCAGATGATTAGAATAGAAATAGTGTACAAAAACTTCAAAGACAAGGGAGCATTTGGCCAGGCTGTTGATGATGTCTCTTGGGAATGCTTGGGGTACAGTCCCAGCTCCACAAACCCAACTTCCTGTTACTGATCACCCTGAGAGGCAGCATGTGGTAGACTGAGGACTTGGGTCCTTTGTACCCACAAGGCAGACGTGGATGGAATCCTTGGCCCCAGTCCAAGTGTGGACATCTGGAAAATGAACCAGGGAATGAAATGCTCATTTTGCACGTGCTCATGCATGCTCACGCTTGCTCTGCCCTTTAAAAAAAGTCTTATTTTGTTTATTGCAAAGGCAGAGTTAGAGAGACAGAGGTCATACATTCACTGGCTCCCTCCCCAAAAGGCCACAAGGCCTCGGTCTAGGCCAGGATGAAGCCAGGAGCCTGGAGCTTCATCCAGGTCTCCCATATGGATGCAGAACACAAGGATTTGGGTCATAATCCACTGCTTTCCCAGAAACACTAGCTGGGAGTTCCACTGGACGAGGAGCAGCTGGGACTCAAATCCTGTAAGGTGGTGGCTTAACCCATTACATCACAATGTTGATCCCTCTGCTTTTCAAAAAAAAAAAAAAAACAACTTCAAGGAAAATTTATCAGATCTTTCCTATCTAGTCTCAAAATCAGACAATTTATATGTTGCAACACAAAAGTTCAGGTGAGTAATTATATGATTTATAAAGCTTATATGAGTTGTTTTCATCAAAGTAACAATTAAAAAGGTTACATCTACATTTAAATCCATTTCTTCAATTCGTTCTACCTCCATTTTTTTTTAATTTTAATTTTTTTATTCTGTTGAAAGGTAGAGAGACAAGAGAAAGATTTTCCATCAGGGGTGGGGCCAGGCTGAAACCTGGAAGCTGAAACTCAGTTTGAATCCCCAACGAAGGTGGCAGGAATGCCTACTCCCCTGCTACCTCTTGGGGTGTGCATCAGTAAGAAGTTAGAACTGGTAGGAGAGCCAGACATGGAATCCGGGCACTTGACTAGAGTACCAAATATCCATCCCCATCTCGTGTTTTCCCCTTACAGGATGTTCAGCATCTACCACCCCTTTGGTCTTTCCCACTGAGAAGTTAATGTGTGGAACTACAGCAAGTAGATAAAAACAAAATAGGCTACAATTGAAATGAGCCAGCAAGCAGCAGTCCAAAGGATAGTTCAGGAGGAAGCACACAGAAAGCAAGGTAGAAATCAGGGATAAAGACGACTTAGTACAAACAGCAGAGCTGTAATCTGATAGGAAAGCATATGAAGGATTACGGAGGCTGAAAGAGGATTAAAGTTTCAAGTTCATCAACAGGAAAGATCTCTCTGACAAACAGGTGAGACTTAGATGAATTAACAGTGACCTAAGCGTCTATCACAGTGGTACTCCACCAGAGCTGTTCACATGGTTGTCTCTTCTACCAAACCATGAGCACCTTTCTGCCAAGTTCTATGTCTTCCTCAGTACTGCCTGACACAGGGTTGGGTACTGAACGGATTTCTTTTTTTAGCATTTATTTATTTCGGGGGCTGGCTTGATGGGTCAGTTAGCTAACCCTCTGCCTGCAAGCGCCAGCATGCCATCTGGGTTCTGGTTCATGTCCTGGTTGCTCAACTTCCCTTCTAGTTCTCTGCTTATGGTCTAGGAATCAGAGGAGGATGGCCCAAAGCCTTGGGATCCTATACCCATGTTTATGAAAATGAATAAAAATAATTGTCCAAAAGTTATTTTTATTCAAAAAGCAGATTTACAGACAGAAGGAAAGACAGGGAGATCTTCCTTCCACTGATTCACTCTGCAAATGGCCACAAATGCTGAAGCTGACTCAAAGCAAGGGCTTTTTCCTAGGTCTCCCATGTGGGTGCAGAAGCCCAAGGACTCGGGCCCATAAGCAGGGAGTTGTATTAGAAGGGGGTCAGTTAGACTAGAATCAGCACCATTACACGATGCAGGCACTGCAGGTGGAGAATTAGCTTGATAAGCCACGATGCTGGCCCACTAAATGAATTTCTATAGAATAATTTCTAATGAATAATTATGACTCACCTTATTAGTCCCCATTCTAACAAAAAATAATCACTTGTTTTGACCGAACGTTCTTTGAAAAAAAAAAAAGTGCAGGACAGGGCAGTATGTCTTTTGCATTGATTTGATTGTTAAGATACACTGCTTTAAAGCCACATATATAATTTATTCAAAAAACTACTTGAAAGGCAGAGTTAAGGAGCGAGGGAGATACACACAGAGATAGGGAGAGAGAGATTTTTCATGTACTAATTTATTCCCCAAATGGCCACAAAAGCTGGGTCCAGGTCAGGCTAAGCCAGGAGCCAGGAACTCCAGCTGGGTCTCTCATGTGGGCAAGGGACCAAGCACCCGAGCTCAAACCGACAGTCATTAGGTTGCCAGCATTACAGGCAGTGTTTTAACTCACTATGCCACAATGCCAACCTCATTTATCATTTTATTCTCACCAAAATAACTTGATCCTGACACTTAGATATTAAGCCCTGTAACAAAATACAGAATTAATACTTATGTAATAAAAGATATGAGTAGACACACTATTGTGGATACATGTGTAATGTCCATTTAGTAAGCGATGGGAATGGAGCAGGCGCTGAAAAATAAAGTCACAGTTTAGGCTGATTTATTACATTTTTCATTATAAAAATATCATAATCAAAATAATACATTATAAAAATGTTAATACCTAGAAATTCCATGAGAATATTTTCATTTACTTTTAGCTGTTCAGAGCATGCCAACACTCTGTTTTTAATTTCTTCATGTTCTCTTTTCTTCTCATAATACTCATGTGAATAGGGAGCTTCTGCATATTTTAGTTGGTATTGCTTCAAGACATCTTTATACTGACACACATAACCTTGATACATTTTTCTATTAAGATGAAAAGAAATGATGCCCATTTAACATGAGTAGATAAAGAGTCTTTATAATTACCACTTACTAAAGTCTAAATTAACCACACAAGGCAAGTAAAAAAAAAAATCTCCCTATTCCTACTTCTCTCAATACTGGGTCTGCTTCCATCTCTCCTAGTCCTCCACACCTCTCGACTCGACTCTGCTTCACTCAATGACTCCTCAAGTACTCTGACCCAACTTCAGCTCCCATAAATTGGTACTTCCCTCTCCAAGGTCACAAATCTCATCTGTCCAACTGAAAGATCTCTTTACACTCTCTTCCTAATTATCACCTCGGCATCTGGTTTTTCCCATTCCCTTACTACTTCTTGAACCTCACTCTTGCTTGGTTCTGAGTTTCTGCTCTTCCCAATTCAGTTGCTCCTTCAATTTGCTTTAGCTACAATTATTCCATGAAGCCACACCCCGTGCGTTACAACTCTGGATTAAGTTTTGCTCACACCCCACAGATACCTTACAAAGACAATCTTAGCACTGTTTAGAGAAACTGCTCTGGCTCAACCCAAATATTGGTGGATATTCATGTATTAAGTTACACATGTTAAGTGGGAAGTTAATTCTTGCAAAAAAAATAATTACCTCTTTTTCCTTTTTTAACTATACTTGATCTACAAGAATCAATTACTATGGCATATGAGCCTAATCTAGTCTGTCACCTATTTTTGTATAATCTGTGAGCAAAGAATGGTTATTAGAAAAAATCAAATTATTTCGTGGAACATTAAAATCATGTAAAAGTCAGATTTCAGTGTCTATACTGGATAATCATTTACTAATACATTGTCTAATATTTCCTGTATTACATCAAAGTGGAGTAGCTAAAATAAGGACCACAAAGTCTACTCAATTCTTGCCAAAAAAGTTTGTAAACCCTGAAGTAAATCACTGAAGCTTTCCAACCTAGTTCTTTAATTCTTGAATTCTTTTTATGCAAATTTATCAGACTTAGGTTCAAAACCTAATATTCACAGTTGTTTGAAAATACATCATCTTCATATTTTATGTTTATTTATTAGATAAGCTATTCTAGTTTCTTAAAGTATATTACAACAATTTTCTTAACTTTTCAGACAAAAAAGAACACGTATAAGCAAATGATCCACATAATAAGAAAAATATAGAAAACAGCCTGTAAGGGCCAATATGTATACTTAACAATGTTTTAATCTTTCAATACTACTGAACTCCGTCCAATTAAGCAAGAGAAAGCAACTCCTATTCTTCTAAATATACAGTTGCTAATTAATACGGAAATGGTGTAAAGAACAGAAAATTATCTAAAGAAAGCAAAGCTTGGGTCACCAGTTTCAAATAAGACCACAGTGTGCCTTATTGATTCTGTTCATATTTCATATTTATATCCGTTCTACCTACACTCCATATAGGAACTTTGGCAAAACCAGGCGTAATGAAATCATGGATCCAGAACCATTATTCTGTATTTCCTACAACAGCAACCTTCATGAACGCCTGGGACAGGAATGGGAGAGTAGAAGAAACAAAGCAGCTGATAGCTCTCCTTCTTTCATTCATGATACCAACAAATTTATTCCTTTTCTTTTATAAATGCTTAGTATTGAGTCATCAGTCAAATTAACCTATGTGGCTTGTTTAGAAAGAACTAAACAATGAAAGCAACAAACTAAAGTTAGCTGTTTTGACTCTAGCTCAGAGAAGTCATCAAACACTGTCAGAGAGGTACACATTTGATTGCTTTAGTCTAGCCCATCACAGAATCACAGATGTAGCTCCTGGATCCTGACTGGCCCGGCACAACTCTGGCTGTCTTGGCCATTAAGAGAGTGAACAAGCAGATGCAAGATTTCTCTGTCTTTCCCTCTTTCTCTGCAACTCTTCAAATCATTTTTTAAAAATTCAATTTTAGGGCCCAGTGCAATAGCCTAGTGTCTCAATCCTTGCCTTGCACACACCAGGACCCCATATGGGCACCGGTTCTAATCCCAGCTGCACCACTTCCCATCCAGCTCCCTGCTTGTGGCCTGGGAAGACAGTCAGGATGGCCCCAAGCCTTGGGACCCTACACCTGCATGGGAGACCTGGATGAGGTTCGAGGTTCCAGGCTCCAGGCTTCAGAACAGCTCAGTTGCAGCTGTTGCGGCCACCTGGGGAGTGAGCCAATGGATGAAAGATTTCTCATTCTCTCCCCATCTCTGTATATCTGCTTTTCCAATTTAAAAAATTTTAAAAATTCAAGATTTTAGTTAAACTTGAAGAATGCTGTTCAAAGTCTCTTACCTTAACTATACTCATTAATTACATCTAATTTGCAAGACTATGTGATTATGCACATAGTAAAATAAATCTACATACTGACTAGTTTTTCTCTATTAGCATACAACAAGCCTGCTAAATCAGCAGTCTGAAAAGCACGAGTTTGATATAAAATACTCTTTAAAATATTTCAAATTTTCATAAGCTAATCCTACAGATAATTATTCCCTAAATGTCTAAACATTTCAGTCATAAAGATTATTAATTGAAGGATTCTGCTGTAATTGCTACCGGAAAGCAGTTTATATCTAAAGCAATATTTAATCATATCCAGACAGAGCTTTACATCAAAAACGTAGATTTCTAATAGTAGCCAAGGAGTCCAAACTACATGTAGTTATAAAAAACTTCCTGTGGTGTACAAACTTTATCTAATTCATATTCTTATAAGACATGCCAAACTAACTTATAGAATGAATTAGTCTAAATTGATATTTATACGGTACTTGTCTTTTTCAACAGTTTCTTGATAAGCAGTAAACTGGTCCTGCATATAATCTTCATGTTTATGAAAAACATCACATGTTGGCTTCCAGCTATGAAAAAAATTATTTGTAATTAGCATCTCAGAATAATAAACTAACACAGTAAAAAATGATTGCAATCATTTAAAGACAAGTTTATGTCAGGAAAAGTATTCCTGGCGCCAGCACCACGGCAGCCCAGGTAAAGCCGCCACAGTGCCCGGCTTCTACACAGGCACCATGTGTGTCTCGGCTGCTCCACTGTCGATTCAGCTCCTTGCTAATGAGCCTGGGAAGGCAGAACGCAGCCCACATGTTTGCACCCCTGCACCCAAATGGGAAACTGGAAAGCAGCTGCTGTTCTGCTCGGGCCACCGCAGCTGCTTGGGGAGTGAAAACAGCACACATCAGATCTCCGTCGCTCCCTTTAACTGTCACATGTGCTTTCATATAAATACATCATTCTTTATAAAATACTGTTTCCAATCTATGTTTAATTGCCATTCACCATTGCTATTTTCAAATGTTAATAGCCATTAATTTTCACCCAAAAAAATCCTTTTACAGGGAAAGAGCTAACGAGGTGTGGCTGGACTCTGTATCACTCTGACATTCTACTACACCTTGCTGTTCATTATCTTTCTATCATGTTTCCAAGATCTTTCAAAGAGTTAAAAGCTAAAGAAAAAAATTTTCCCTTTAAAACTTGTAAGGACTTGATAATACACTCTCCTGATTTTAAAAACAAAAGCTAAAATGAATAACAAAAATCAGAATAAACTTAAATATCTATTTCACGCTTTTACTACGTAATTTGAAAAAAAAATACCAATATGAAAAATCTAGTTTTGTCTGCCCTGTTAGCCTTCATTTAAACATTGATCAAATAATTCCTTTTATTCTAACTTTTTAAAGCAGTGGTTCAGATTCAGGAAGTATATATTTTCACTTTTGAAGTAAAGAAAATTATATGTAAGGAAATAATTATCACCTGCTTTTTTTTTTTTTACACAAAATCCCTCGCTCACCAATTACTGCACAGAACTTGTACTTAATTTTGTTAGACCAAACTGCTATTTCATTAGAAAACAATCTCCAAATGAAAAGGAAACATGGCTACACACAAACATACTGTAAGAAACACATGTTCACTGAGAAGATAATTTCTTTAAGTATCTCCATATAAAGTCCTCTTTTTTAATAAACAAATTAATTAGGGGGCATCACTGTGGCACAGCTGGTAAAGTCACCACCTGTGACAACAGCATACCACACGTGGGCCATTTCATGGTCTGGCTGTCCTAATATTGATCCAACTCTGCTAATGGCTTGGGAAAAGTAGCAAAAGATGGTCCAGTATTTCGGCATCTGCCATTCAAAACCAAACCCCAGATGAAGCTCCTGGTTCCACCTGGTCCAGCCCTGACTGCTTCAGCCATCTGGAGAGTGAATCAGCAAACTGGTGACGGAGGGAAGAGAGAGAGAGATCATCCATCCACTGTTTGACTCTCCAGAACTGAGAAGATCCAAAGCCAGGAGCCAGGAGCTCCTTCCAGGTCTCCCACACAGGTGCAGGTTCAAGACTTGGGCCATTCTCCACTGCTTTCCCAAGTCCTAAGCAGAGAGCAGGCTTGGAAGTGGAGCAGCAGGGACACAAACCTGTACCCTTAAGCAGTCTGCTTCGCCACCATGCTGGCACCATTGGTTACTTTTGGTGTTTTCTTATTATTAAAAAAAAGACTGAAATAAAACTAACAACTCACTAACAGGAAAACAAACAACCCAGTTTGAAAATGGGCAAAAGGGGGCCCGGCGGCGTGGCCTAGCAGCTAAAGTCCTCTCCTTGAACACATCGGGATTTCATATGGGCGCCGGTTCTAATCCTGGCAGCTCCACTTCCCATCCAGCTCCCTGCTTGAGGCCCGGGAAAGCAGTCAAGGATGGCCCAAAGCTTTGGGACCCTGCACCCGTGTGGGATGCCCAGAAGAAGTTCCTGGCTCCTGGCTTTGGATCAGCATAGTATCAGCTGTGGCGCTCACTTGGGGAGTGAATCATTGGACGGAAGATCTTTCTCTCTGTCTCTCTTCCTCTCTGTATATCTGACTTTCCAATAAATAAATAAATCTTAAAAAAAAAAAAAAGAAAATGGGCAAAGGAATGAAACAGATTTCGCAAACGAAGTCTTTTATTATGACAAATATAAAGCTTTATTCCCTTAAACATAAATAAAAGATCTTGAAAACTCATAAGATGAAGATTATTTCAAATTGGGACTGGTGCTATTGAACAATAGTGCCAGCATAGTTTATGGGTGTTGGTTCAAGTTTTGACTGCATTACTTTCTATTCAGCTCCCTGCTTATGCTCTAGGAAGGCAGTGGAGGATGGCCCAAAGCCTTGGGACCCTGCACCCATGTTGGAGACCTGGAAGAAATTCCTGGCTCCTGGCTTTGGATCAGCTCAGCTCCAGCCATTTGTGAACATTTGGGGAGTGAACCAGCATATGGACGATCTCCTTCTCTGTCCCTCTCCTGTGGTTCAACTGTGATTCAAACAAAAAAAATTCAAAAATATTTCAAATGTATGTAAGAGATATTTTATATATACTGAGCTTATTTATATCAACTGGATATGAACCAGCAAGATCCTTTGGCCCTGGGCCCAGTGCGATAGCGTAATGGTTAAGGTCCTCACCTTGAACCCACCGGGATCCCATATGGGCACTGGTTCTAATCCCGGAAGCCTCACTTCCCAACCAGTTCCCTGCTTGTGGCCTGGGACAGCAGTCGAGGGCGGCCCAAAGCCTTGGGACCAAGCATCCACGTGGGAGACCTGGAGGAGCTCCTGGCTCCTGGCTTTGGATTTGCTTAGCTTCGGCCGTTGCGGCTGCTTGGGGAGTGAACCATTAGATGGAAGATCTTCTTCTCTGTCTCTCCTCCTCTCTGTATACCCGTCTTTCCAATAAAAATAAATAAATCTTTAAGAAAAAAATCCTTCGGTCCTAACTTCATTTTTTGTTTGAAACTTTTGTAAACCCTTTCCATAGTGACACGTAACAAGGCTTAATTATTTTACTTATAGATTATTTTAATGCAATGGCATCTTAATCTATAAACACAGAAATCTTAATTAGAAGAATCACATTTATTGAAAGTTCCTTTAAATACTCACTCACTACAGTTGTCTTTAATGTCCTTGCTATGTTTACAGTAATAGCCAATTTCTTCATCTGTTGTATTTATAGATTCACGTATCTTACAAATAACTGCTCTGCTTTCTTTAATATCTTCAAAACATTCTGGAAAGATGAAATGTTTGCTTCCTTGGGTTAGACATCATAAATTTCAAATAAATTAAAGTATTATAAGTCACATAAAAGAGGCAGAAAATGGAAAAGCGTGGCTTCATACAGCTAACGGCAAAAAGCAAAGAACCAGGGCTAGAATGACCCTAGTCCTAGAAGGATTTGTTTGACATTTACAAGAAGCAAATGTGACTTGTCCCTCATCTTTAATGTAATAATGCTGGATTACATGACATGTAAGGTCAATTGTATCTTACACTCTGAATTCACGTAAACACTATTTACATAAGCACGTAAACACAACAGCATGACTTTCTTTTCTGATCAACATGAAATTTCTATTCATCAATTCCACACCAATTTATTAAATACACATTCAACTCACTTGTTACTAGTAAACATAATTACAATTTCTTGAAAATGTTTACGATCTTCATTCTCGTTAAAGACAAACTTCTAAAACCACTGAGAATCAATTAATATTATATAGGTAGAACCTTAAAATATTGTATTTAGCGAAGGTATTTCACTATTATTTTTAAAAGACTGCTACAAGAAACATGGCATCCATTAATCTGAGTCCCTAATTTCTGGCGATTTCTACAAGACAGAAAAAAATTTTTAAACATTTGAAATAACTTAATATTTGAAATACTGCATTTCAAGAAATTTTTTTCTAAAGCAAAATCCCTCACAAAATAATTAAATGCTGAATGCAGAAATTTCTTATTGAAAAATTCAACTTAAGGCAACACTTTTTTTTCCCTAGGGTAAACAGCTCATCAGGAGTCATTACAGCAAACTGGCACAAAAGTTATGCCAACCAGAAGTTTCTGTCCCCAGTCGGCATCTCTTATCTCATATCCCATAAAGTGTTAAGACAAAAATATCCTTATTATGCAGAACTACTTACTATTGATTCTCTGAATCACATCTTCTTTGGTACTTTTGTCTTGCTCATACTGGAAAACTAAGATGAAACAATTCTTTGTGACGTCATCATTAAATGTCAAATGAAAATACAACCCCCCCTGCCCCCCTCCCCGTTTTACAGTCTTATTTCATACCTACCAAATTCTAGCAAGAGCCTGTCCAAACTGACAAACAGGTTGTCACTCATCCTGGATACTGAGAAGAGAAACAAACATTTATAAGGAGGGATTTTTTTGTTTAAGCCACCTGCACCCAGATGTTGCCCACTAGGCTATGGACCACGTGGGCCAGGGGCGACCCGCGGGAGTGGGGGGTCTCCGCCTCGCGTGGCCCCGCGTCCCACTCCACTCAACGCGCTTTTCTGCTCCAAGCCTTCGAGAGCCGCACTCGGATTTGAGAGCGCACACTCGGATTTGTCAAGAACGTGTGATTTTTTCATAACACAACTCCGCACTCTCCCTCGAGTGGAGGAGATGCTCCCGCGGGCAGCCAGCTTCCCAGAGCGCCAGCCAGGGAAAAGCCGGCCAGCTTCCACGCCTGGATTTGCCGCCCTCCCTCCCGAGGCTTCCGATGGGACCACCGACTCGCCACACCTGAACACGCCTGGACGCGAGTTCGGGTCCCGGGGAGCCCGCTTAGCAACCCCCCCATCCCCATCGCGGTGCCATGGCCGCCCCTCCCGTCCAGCATTCTCCTCAGCCCAAGCTGAGAACGCGCCCACAGCCCGGGCGGCCGAGTGTGTGTGTGTCTCGCGGAGCCGAGCGACGGCGTGAGGCGAGGCGACGCGCAGGGAAAGTTCGCGAACGTGACCCTGGCGCATCTCTGAGGGAGCCGGTCACCGCCTCCCTCCTTCCCTCACGCACAGTCTCTACCTCAGAACCACCCTCCACCGCCCAGCTCGCCCTCCCATCCACCTGTAACAGACCCGCTACACCCAAACGGCCGCAGCCTCCTTCCCCACCGCCCCTCAGCACCCGGACGCCCGGGACTCGACGACAGACCTGGGCGCCCGGCGCGCGCCTCGCCCCGCCCCCTGGCGTGGCCGCGCAGCACGCGGTGGGCGGGGCCTGCGGGGCGCGCGACCCGCCCTTCAAATGCGCGCGGTCCCAGCAGCCCCGCCGCGCAGGTGCCAGGAGCTTGTGGAAAGAAAGGTCAGTCGTTCTTCCAATCACAGTTTTTAAAATATTTTGGAAAACAGAAAAAAAAAAAGTCTCACACCGACTCTAACATGACAGTAGATGCCTGACTCAATAATGAAAATAAAGGTTTTTTTTTTTCCAAAAATTCTTGAAGACCAAGTATAAATTCAGATGCATTTTCATGAAATATTTTGAGACTCTTCTGCTTCCAAAAAAGCTGTAAGGTACAAATCAGATAGTGTATGCCCTGAGGCTTTGTTTGTTCAAATTGAAAGTGGAGGAAAAATTAAATGCCCCGAAGTTCCTTTATCCTTGGCATATTTCTGGTGGAAACATTTTTAATCCTTAATGATCTAAATGTCACTGTAAACTATGTTGTTTTATGGATTGTTAAAATAAAAAGGAAGTTTGACCTTTTTTCTAAGTTCTACAACCAGCTAGACACATTAACACTGCAATTTGCTGCAAAGCAGTTGGTATGTAAGAATGAAGCCAACAGATTCTTTTGTGTTTATTTGTGTAAAATCTAATTTTATTTCTTTCCCCAGGCTTATGGATATGTAATTAATAGAGCTGTATATGAATGAGGTGCATATTTAAATGATGTGTATAATTAAATTGATGTGTATAATGGATGCATCACACACTGTGTGTGGGTGGTGAGAACATTTAATAGCTCCTCTGTAAATTTTAAACGCGTGGTGCAGTGTGTTATGGTCCCCACACTGTACATTGGGTCTCTAGAACGGACTCATCCATCTGATGGAAACACTGTCTCCTGTGCCTGCCGTCTCCCCGTCCCCCCCATTCTCACACCTCCCAACCCACAGCCTTCTGCTACCATCATTCTCTCTGCTTCCGTGACTTCAACCTTTGGAGATTTCACATGTCAGTGATAGCGGCAGTGTTTGTTGGCTTGCCATGCCTGAATTATTATTATTATTATTATCCAGGCTCACCCATGTTGGCAGCAGTTGGAGGAGTTCCTTCATTTGTAAAGTCAAGCCCTGTTCCATGCGTGTATGGGTGTGTGTCACATTTTCTCCATCTGCTCCTCCATTGGCGCGACGAAGATTGCGTCTGTGTCTTGACTGTTGTGAATCGTGCTGTAATAAACACAGGGATGTAGGTATCTCTTCGACATACAAAAGATAGGAAAGATACAAGATTTCGTACTAATTTTGTATCTTCTGAATATGTAATTTTGCTGAATCTTATGGTGGTCCTAATTTTAATTTCTTTTCCCTTGCCTCAAGTTTGTTTATAGAAACAGCACAGGAAGACACTAATCGCATTCACACAGGGAGCCTTTTTGCTATTTTCTCTAATGGTTTTACCAATGACATTCCCACCAACAGTGTATAACTTTCCCTTTGGCTGTGTCCTCATCAACTTTTGCCTGTTTGAGAATAGCCATTCTATTACGTGTGATAGGGTAACTCCTGACCTGCTAATAGTGGTGTTAGACAATTTTTTAAAGGTATCTGTTTTCCATTTGGATGGCTTCTTTTTTTTTAAGATTTATTTCTTTGTATGTAAAAGGCAGATTTACAGACAAAAGGAGAGATAGAAAAATATTCCATCATTGGTTCTCTCCCCAAATGGCCACGTTGACTGACCTGAGCTGACCTGACAGGAGCCAGAAGCCAGGAAATTGTTTGGGTTCTCATGCAGGTGCAGGGTCCCAAGGTTTTGTGTCATCCTCTGCTGCTTTCCCAGGCCACAAGCAGGGAACTGGATGGGAAGTAGAGCAGCTGGGATGCAAACTGGAGTCCCTTTGGAATCCTGGCGCTTCCAAAGGGGTATTAGCTAATTGAGCCATTAAACTGCTTGGGGAGTGAATCATCAGAAGGAAGATCTTCCTCTCTGTCTCTCCTCCTCTCTGTGCTTCTGACTTTCCGATAAAAATAAATAAATCTTTTTTAAAATTTTTTAAAAAGAAGGAAGGAAGGAAAGGTGGTGGATGGAGGGAGGGAGGGAAGGAAGGTGGTAGGGATAGAGGGAGGCAGGGAGGGAGGGAGGCAGGAAGGCATGGTTTATCTTACCTCTCTTGTAGCATTCTGCCAGTACCACATTTCTTCTGCTTCTTTTCCCCTCAGCCATCACCACTGGCCCTTATTGACATTTTTTCGTTAACTCTGCCCCTCCCTATATTCCTTTCTTTAAGTCATTCATAATGGCTTTAGTATCACTTGTGCTAAGTCTCCCAAATTTGTACTTCCAGGCTTATTCCACTAAAAATTAACACCAACATTTAATTTACCCACCTTTTCCCGGCAACCTGGTCCAACCCTTCCAACATAACCTGGTCCAAATCCAAGTTTTTCTCCACCTCTCCATGAAACAGTAATCATTGCCCAAATCAACACGTCAAAACATGGCATCTAAGGTGATTGCCACCATGTCTCATGCAATCATTCGTAGAGTCTTATTGGCTCTTTACTATATCCTTTGGATGTGTCCAATCAACTCAATAAATAGTCTTTGAAAGCAGGTAGATGCAGATTTAACTTCTGGTTCTATTAAAACTGTAGTCAGGTTTCTAATTAAGCTTTAGTATTCTCAAATATAAAAATGAGAATCAAAACAACTTCGACATTACAGAATGTAGTTAACTTAATTATTTAACAAAAAATTAATGTAGGGCCCGGCGTGGTGGCGCAAGTGGTTAAGTCCTCACCTTGAACGCCCGGGATCCCATATGGGCGCCGGTTCTAATCCCGGCAGCCCCGCTTCCCTTCCAGCTCCCTGCCTGTGGCCCGGGAAAGCAGTCAAGGACGGCCCAAGGCTTTGGGACCCTGCACCCGCGCGTGGGAGACCCGGAAGAGGCTCCTGGCTTCGGATCGGCATAGCATTGGCCCGTTGCACTCACTTGGGGAGTGAATCATTGGACAGAAGATCTTCCTCTCTGTCTCTCCTCTCTGTAGATCCGCCTTTCCAATAAAAAAGTAATAAAAATTAAAAAAAATTAATGTAACACCCAACATACAATGCAAAGGAAATGTAGAAGCCATCAGAATGCAACTTCCTCAAGTTTTAGCTGCGAAACACATCCTCTTGACGTTGTCATCTTTCTTTTCTCCCTCTCTCCTAATACCGAAAGCCAATTGTTTCGCCCGTGTTTTTAGTGACATACCCTCTTGCCATCTCTGAAATGTGAAAATACCAAGTGTCCCTCTTCTTTTACATGGACCAGATCTCTTCCATTCAATTAGATCCCTATCATAAGCTTTAAATGTGGTCAAGCCTCTACCAGAAAAAGAAAAACAAAAAGGAAGAAAAGAAGAAAGGAAAGGAAGGAGAAAGGGAAGAAGAGAGGGGAGAGGAAGAAGGGAGGCAGAAAGCAGAGGGAGGGAAGGAAAATTTCCCTGAATAGTAAAGGTCCTAAGAGTCAACATTAAGTATCCCGTACAATCTGTTTCCTAAACAGTTTTTGAAACACACTCTCCCTGCTGTCACCTCTTCAGTTTACCCCAGTCTTCCTTCCAACCGCAGTGTGCCATAGAATTTGTTCTTGTCACTGAATCTAATGCGCGTGGTTCATCATTCCCTGAGCTGACCCCTCTGCAGTGCCCAACAGCATTCCTCCTCCTTCTAACAACTCAGTGGGTACCCGATTTTCCTCCTATTCTAGAAATTTCTTTATCTCCTTTTACATAGGCATTAAATTTTATAAATCTTTCTGGCTGGACCCTCAATCTTCTATTCTGTACCACATGTGCTTGTTTCCAGTACAACCACTACACAAATGCCTACCTCTAGCGTGAGCTTCTGCTATCAACCACACCTGAAGCTGCAAACAGTTGATGTTGATTCTATCTTAGTAAGGTAGGAAATTCTGTAATCATAGTAGGAAGTGGATTCAGATGCTGGACAACAGTCAGAAAGAAGCACTTTCCATGACGCCAGTCTTGATTCCCATGCCTTCATGGTGATTTGCCAACATGATAAATTGCCTTAATCTATTCCATCTGCTCTAACAGATTGCCACAGACTGAGTAAGTTTCAAATAATTGAAATTTATTTCTCCTGATTCTGGAGGTTAGAA